CCGCCATCATCTCAAAGTTCCGTGCCATAATGTCAATGTCATCGGCGAAGCCAAGGAGCTGGATGGACTTCCTGAATATCGTGCCACTCGTGTCTATCCCAGCTCTTCAGATCACACCTTCTAACGCGATGTTGAACAGCAGACACGAAAGTCCATCACCCTGCCGTAACCCCCTTCGAGATTCAAAGGGACTCGAGAGTGTCCCCGATACTCGAACTACGCACATCACTCGATCCATCGTCGCCTTAACCAATCGCGTCAGTTTATCCGGAAGTCCGTACTCGTGCATAATCTGCCATAGCTGATCTCGATCGATTGTGTCGTATGCGGATTTGAAATCGATGAACAAATGATGTGTGGGCACGTTGTATTCGCGGCATTTCTGCAGAAACTGCCAAAACGCGAAAATTTGGTCCGTGGTAGCGCGGGTATGAATCCCGCCTGGTATTGCCTCACGAACTCTCTTGCATATGGTGACAAACGGCGGTATAGAATTTGGGAGAGTACCGTGTAGGTGGCGCTCAGCAGTGTGATCGCGCGGTAGTTGCAGCAATCCAACTTGTCGCCCTTTTTGTAGATTGGGCATACGACACCTTCCATCCACTCCTCCGGTAATATCTCCTCCTCCCAAATCTTGGCAATTACCCAGTGCAGTGCTCTAGCCAGTGCTTCACCACCGTATTTCAATAGCTCACTTGGTAGTTGATCTACACCAGTTGCTTTGTTGTTCTTCAGCCGACCGATTTCCTCCTCAACTTCTTGAAGATCAGGGGCCGGTAGCCTGTCGTTTTCTGCGCGTGCTCCAAGGTCTATTGCCGTGCCACCTTCGTTTTCTGCTGCTTCACCGTTGAGGTGCTCGTCATAGTACTGCTTCCACCTCTCAATCACCTCACACTCGTTCGTGAGAAGGTTACCGTCCAAGTCCTTGCACATATCGGCTTGCGGCACGTAGCCTTTGCGCGAACTATTTAGCTTCTCGTATAACTTCCGTGTGTCGTTTACGCGGTACAGATTTTCCATCGCCTCGCGATCTCGGTCTTCCTGCTGACGTTTCTTCCTTCGGAAAACCGAGTTTTGTCTGTTCCGCGCTTATCTGTATCGCTCCACATTCAATCTCGTGCGGTGTTGCAGCATTCTCGCCCGTGCTGCATTCTTCTCCTCTACTAACAGTTTGCATTCGCCGTCAAACCAGTCATTTCTTCGGTCCGAGATTGCAGTACCTAGTGCCGCTGCCGCAGTGCTACCTATGGCTGAACGGATGTCCCTCCAGCCATCTTCAAGATAAGCTGCGCCAAGCTGCTCTTCCTTAGGTAGTGCAACTTCCAGCTGCAGCGCGTAGTCCAGGGCAACTCCGGCGTCCCGTAGTTGCTCAATGTTGGGTCGCGGTGTTCGACTTTGACGTGTGTTATGCACCGTGGAGAGTTTTGAGCGCATGCATACTGCAACTAGGCAGTGGTCCGAATCTATGTTCGCACTGCGGTACTTGCGGACGTTGATAATGTCGGAGAAGAATTTCCCGTCGATTAGAACGTGATCGATTTGGTTTTCTGTGTGTTGGTCAGGTGATCTCAAGGTGGCTTTGTGGATATCCTTGCGGGGGAAAAAGGTACTTCGAACTACCATACCCCGGGAGGCTGCAAAGTTCACGCATCGTTGGCCGTTGTCGTTCGATACGGCATGCAGGCTGTTTGGCCCGATTGCCGGTCTATACATTGCCTCCCGTCCTACCTGAGCGTTCATGTCACCGATGACGATTTTGACGTCCCGTTGCGAACAGCCGTCGTACACCTGCTCCAGCTGCGCATAGAACGCTTCTTTCTCGTCGTCGGGTCTCCCTTCGTGTGGGCAGTGCACGTTGATGATGCTGTAGTTGAAGAAACGGCCCTTAATCCTCAACTTGCACATTCTCGCGTTTATCGGCTGTCAACCAATCACGCGTTGGCGCATCTTACCCAGCACTACAAAGCCGGTTCCCAGCTCGTTGGTGGTGCCACAGCTCTGGTAGAAAGTAGCCGCTCGATGCCCGCTTTTCCATACCTTTTGTCCCGTCCAGCAAAGTACCTGCAATGCTACGACTTCGAAGTTGCGTGGTTGAAGTTCGTCATAGATTAACCAATCGCAACCCGGGAAGCCGAGCGATTTGCAGTTCCATGTTCCGAGTTTCCAATCGTAGTCCTTATTTCGTCGCGTAGGTCTGTGTCGATTGTTCCGATCCGTATTTCTTTCTTCGGTATTTGCAACTTTGTTTTTTTTTTCCAGGGCGGCTTGTTGGGCCTGCCCCAACCCCCTGTCTCGCCGGGGGACCATCGTGCACAGCTCTGTTTAGAGTCCCACGCTGGCACTAGGACGGTGATCAGCCGCTCCTAACGTGGAAAACAGACGCCGTTTTGAGCCGCACCTCCATGGTGAACAGACGCTCGGGTTTGGTGAAGCATTTCCTCTATGACCGTACTATGGTTACCACGCCAGTGTACGCAATCTATTTGGTTCAAATACAGCATTCAATAGTGCAACATATTCTTGTTTAGCAGTTCAGAATTTTGCTGTTTTGAAAATCTTTTAAAGTCTGACGATAAAGTCAAAACGGGTCTGGTTTTAAAAATTAATTTATGCAGCATTCTATCCCTTAATAAACTGTGTAATTAGTCAATCATAGACCTGCTCGGTATTTTTATTTATTGACAAAGTGCTCCATAAAGGTGTTTTATCATTATAAAAGCAATTATAAACCGTTCGGTTTAAAACGGGAACAAAAAGCATACATTGCTGCTTTTTGGTGTAAATAAAGTGTATCCCAAAACCCTCCACTGTTTACAAATTAAACTAAAAATATGGATCCGCCTAGAGACCGAGAAAAAATAAACAAGTAGGGCTTTTAAATAATGAATCACAAGTAAATGCCGATGGATAGTCGAGAAAAAAATACTAGCGATACTAGGAAGAATAATTCTAGCGATACTGTTGTCGGAAGGGAAAATGAATCCCTTTCCAGAACTTCATGGGATGTCAAGCAGCTCCGTCAAAACCGGTCAAAAACAACGGAGCAGCCGACTGAGAAGAGTGAAGTGAATGCGCACGAGCACAGGTTGCCGGCTTCCAGTGGCACTTAATATTGATGGGAATACACAAAATATTGTCAATGGCATTTGCGTCGCGTTCTGAATAAAAACAGACCAGCCTTCTCCAGAAATAACATTGCCGCAGTGTAAAACTGGGGCTGCGGAAAAATGCCGATGGACAATTCAGAAGCTGTCAGTCAGCTGGAAATTGGCCGCCCTCCGAACCATACCAGCATTTTCATTCTGCGAAAGAGTTGACCCTACGGAAAAACCCAATCAAGCACACATAAAATTCCTCGTAATAGCCGGAGAAGGGAAACTTTTCGGGAACGATTGAGGTTTCACCTGTTCCAAGTTACGTCGATACACTTCCTGATTAACTGCTTCTGATGGATGATATTTGCCCTTATCGAGGACGCAACTTGTGGATCCAATGCTGGAGTAGAACCTAGTTGAAATGATCGCACAACAAAACTATCGAAAAATAAACAAATTTTGACGTTTAAGTTTTTCCAGGCAACTTTGCCACCATTAAAACCGTCATAAAACTAAACGGAATAGGATCAAGCAAAATGGCTTCAGATAAAAACAATTCAGTTTGCAAACTAACGTCATAAAAACAGCATTAAAATATTTTGCATTTGTTATGGATTTCATGAAAGAAAAACAGCTTCTTCACGAATGGATTATGGAAAATTAATGTTTATGTAATCGCCATGTTGTTATTGTTCCATTTGTTTTTTACTATCTTCGTTTTTCAAGATGGTTTTCCTTAAAAATAACTTTATTCTCATCAATTCATCAATGATTAGTAATAGAGATTTATTATGAGTTTTGATAATTTTGGTAATTATTTCAATTTAATGATGATGAAATTTATGACAGATTTAGTTTTGAATAATTAATTTGACAAGAGCGGATGATATGTATCCCTTTTGATCTTGATTGATGCTTTATTTTTAGTGCGCTTATCAAGCGTCAAAGGGAAATGGCGCGAGTATTGATGCCAAATGGCTTTTATTGTAGTTTTAATAAATATTTCAAATGGTGCTCAATGCTTTCGTCGTATAACCTTTTTGCAGCAAATCAATCTTGAAGTAACTCGAAAATATGCCCTTCAAAACCTTCTCCAAGGTGGGCCAACTAGACATATTCTAGTCTTGATGAGGTTTTGGGGGATGTAATAAAGGCAAAGCTGTCTTGACCAGGGTTTTATGAACGTTATTTTATAGTAGCCTTGTAGTACTGCATAAAACGTTACTTGTGAAGTGGCTCTTCCTGCCTTATACGGGCCTTATCACAACCTACAAATATTAGTATAGCCATTGCTCAGCTGCGGAACAGTATACCCTATAATAAATAGTTCTACGAGAATTTGGCAGAACACATCCCGCAAATCATGCATCCCTAACTGTGTACTTAGTAGATTGAAAATAACTGGCAAAGGAAGCGTCTAATGTTGAAACATAAAATCAATCACTTAACATCGAATTGCATTTTTGACCATGACAAAATCAAGATCAACTTAATATCTTCATTTGAAATCATGTACTTACGTACCCTACATAAAGCAGGTGCTATGCGTTCGTTTATTGTCATCATTATCAGCGTAACGGCAATTACTTTCCAACTGCTACTGATTCTACAATGTTGTTCTGATTGACGAAATGATGACAGCGCAGTTGAGGTAGCTGATAAGCGATTTATAAAGGTTACTTTCTTGAGTAACGACTCTTTGCTTATCAATTTGCGGTTGCAATGTTTTAACGGGGGAATGGCCCACAACGCGTTAACGGCATGATTCGTGTTATCATAGGGCCGTATCGTACGACAACCGTTCAACGGTTAGTCGGTTGGTAACAGCTATGCTGATATCGTTGATCACGATAACGGATTGATATTTTCGGCGGTATAAAAGGTCTGGGTTGTTTGGGATTGGAAGTCAGTCAAGTTCTTCGTTGCAAACATCGATAGCAGAATGGTAAGTCTTGAATGGGATTCTCTTTGGACAGTTCTCAAAAACATGCTCTATCCTACAGCAGAAAATTTTCATCATTTTGGCCATCTTTGGCCTAGGCTTTGCCAGTGCCAATCTCCGTACGGAGATGGATGAGCTGATCGAGTTCTTAAAGATGGAAGAAGTTCGCGAGATCTACAACTGGTGGATCGTTCATGACGCCCAGGTGGGAGAGATTTACGCCTTCCTGCAGACTGACGAAGCCAATGAAGCTTGGGTTGTGATAACGACCAGCAATCCCGACATGCAGGAGATCAGTGCCTGGGCCTTGGAGCGAGGTGTCGATCTGAAGGATTACCTAAACCGAATTGCTACCGTCTTGGGACTGTCTCCGATTGGTACCCGTGCCTTGAGGAACACTGCCGCTCGTAGCTGGGCCAGCATGATGGAGGAAATCCGCGCCGTACAGGATCTGGATGGAGCTAAGGCTCGCGCTGCGGAGTTCATTGATGATCCAACCAGCGAGTTTGGAGAGCTGCACCGCATGATCGCTGCCCAGCACGAGTCAATCCATGGAACCTTTGAAGATCCGGCCGTTCGTCGTGTATCGTCACAGCTGCGTGCTTTCGGTGTGGATATTGACGGATTCATCGAACGTCTCTACGATTTTTTCGGATGGGATCACAGCGACCACCACTAAATGATGAGATATGATGAATAAATCTGATACTTTTTTGCAATAATTCAAATGTGTTGGAATCTGAACCTATCGAACGTGATATTTTTCACACTTCACCGGCTAGAGCTTATCGCCACATCGTCACGACTGCAGCAACAAAGTTGCAAATGTTTCTATTCGTTCGACGGAGGAATAAACATCCCCAGTCGAAAGTTAATTACCTGTTCAAGACCTAGTGTAACATCTGGATCGCGCGCAAGTCGTGAAATCGTCTCCATCGCTGATCACCTGTTCTAAACACACGGGGGTCGGGAGGTTACTTGCCTCCCCCCTCCCCCTCCCCCTAATCCGTAAACAGAGCCATTTGAATGTCAGATCGGTTTTCTACACCTTCAATCGATGTACCGCTGACTGGTAGAGTAGCACGTATGTTAAGGGGATTGTATCGGAATGTTACCTTTCAAGTCGTCGTCGTCGTCGTCTCACAATGGAGGAGAGTTGCAATCAAACTGCACCTATTTCCACAAATCCCAGGAGGTTGTTAGGAGCAGTTGATGACACTCCTCCGAGAAATCACAAACCTCCGAATTAGGTGCCATTGAGATCGGTTTGCTAGTGTTGTTGCGAAATATCCCCACTCTAAGATAGTTCTTTTGCAAAGAACTCGAAAAATTTCACCGGACAGTCTATGCACCAATTACAAAGCAGTCAGCGTGCAGAGCGACAATTACTCGCGCAGAAATCGAAGATTGGGTCAATATAAGAAGAAAAAAAATATGCTGCAATATGAATGCCGCGTAGCGTCGGCAATCATATCAATTAAAGTGTGTTATTTTTCACAGCCGCAGAGCAGAACTGCTTGGTCGTCGTCGTTGTCGTCGTCGTATGACGGTACCTACTACAAGAATACCGGTTCAGATTGTAAATTTTGCGAGGGTAGGACGCATACACACCCCGACAACGTGCTGCACCGTGGCTCAAGGCTCCAGCATTTGGTTCAATGCTTTAGTCGGAGAGAAGCAGATACTTACTACATGAATCAACTGGCGAGACCAATCCCTGATTCGTTGCGAAATTTGTTTGCTCGGATTATGGTTTGACGAAGAGGAAATGGAGTGAATGTTTTTCGTATTGTTCATGATAGATATTTCTCACTTCGAGATTTGAGAAGATCTGTACGATTTCCAAGAATCAAGTATCTATAGAGTATACTGTGTTATCCTACCTATAAACAGTTGTTAACTGCCCCGCAAGTAATAAAGATTTTTCCTCCGATCACCGAGCTAATGCGGTGAAAAAATTTCACTGAGAAATTGAATTTGCTAGATCATTAGCCACATCACATAGTAACCATTGGCATTATCCAAATCAGGCAGCATCAGCAGTGACGGTTTGCGGGCAGGTGTTCAACTAAACACCATCCATCGGCAACGACTTAACCAACAGATAATTACCGAAAGCAAGGCAGGCAAAGAAAAAAACTTGACTCTCACTTCTCACTTATTTTGCTAACTGCGTTTATCAACACCATCTATCTGCTCTAAGGTGTTATAGGCCGCATCGCGATTTGCACAATTCACTAGAGCACAGCCACACCAAAGGAAAAAGGTTCCCTTAATCTGCCTCCTTCGGATTGTGGATTTCTTTGTAATCCGTTTGTCGGTCTTTACCCACCACGTGGCCCGGGTTGATTTGATTTCGATCTTGTAATTACTTTTACTTTTGCTAAACTAAGTCAGACAGTCATAGCGGTCTCGCGGAGTGTGTTGTGATCACGGTTGATGCCGGAGGCTCTTGAGGCTCTTATTTTTGCGCTTTCATCATGTGGGAAATAAATGGGAGAGGAAATCGTTTAGGCTTAGCTTTAGAAACCCAGTGGATCAACTGCTACCCAGTCTTATGTAAGTGAAAGTGCAAACTCGAAAATAGTTAGGAATTCAATAATTTCACAGATTTAGTAAGTTTTGCACACTTTTGGAGCTGTCCATTAACCACACAGACAGTGTGGACATGTGGACAGCCCTTTGACATATATAGCCGTGAGATATGTCCATGAGCAGAAGCAATGCAAACAATTCCCTGAAACACGATTCATATTCATACAGCAATGGTGTAATAATTGCCGAAGACATCTTTTGCCCTACTTTAATAATGTTATATTTAAAATTGAATTTCCGTATCGGTTTCAATGCCACTGCTGCTGGGCGCTGAACACCATGTTTGCGGAAACCAGTGGACCTTACAACTCACCATCCTATAAACACCTATTGGGCTTAAGCCAACTAGACCGGCAATCAAACGGAGAATCATTTTTCGGTTGGTCGATTCCCGATGCTTCCTTCCACTTGCGTTTGAGAGAAGGAGAGTCAGTTCCGGGGTGATCTCAGAGGAGCCTGATGGTAAGCAAAACTCATCACTGTTACGTGGTTTTAAACGTATAAGTTCTTCGTTCCGTTCGATGGTGTAGCGCTGCACTCTGATTGTTGGATTAGAAAAAAGCGTGTCTAACAGCGGATAATTACTCGCTTCAGATGTTTCACGTGAAACGCTACTTTGAAAAAGAGAATCACATGTTGCTGATCAACGGTAGCTCAAAAACGATTTAATGTGAAGCGATAGCCACCACAGCTGACATTGAATTCAATTTGATGCATTCTATTGCAACTGCAAAGCAAATGTTCGATAATCTAAGAAAGTTCTTTTCCTTAAGTACCGTACCAAGTGCAATATTTTTGTTGTTTCAGGGCGTAACAATGCATTTGTTATTAAAAACATTACAGGGGATATGACGGTTTCGAAACTTTTTTACGTATAATCGTATGTGTAGTCCTAGAGCGCTGAACTTCAGCATGAAGGTGAATTATATTCCAGGGCAGCGTTTTGCAAAAAAAAAAAATAACGCTATAAGGCTTCATTTATCCTCTGGCGATAATAATAAAATTAAATAAAAATTAGGTAAAGATGTGCCGTCATTTCCCCTATATGAGAAACATCAGTGATCAAATAAACCCCACTGATTATTTTGACCCCATTTACGTTACTTTGGAGGGTGGTTTTTAGCTCTCGGAATATTGAATATGCAGCGGTAAAAAAAAGTTTTGCCTGTACTACCCAACGTTTCGGTAATGTATTTCACCTTCTTCTGGGATATAAAGCTTTGTTTCTAAATTACAGAAATCAAGTATTTCCAGCTCAAAACGGCAAAAATAAAGTCACTTTTATCCCGACTCTTTCAGATTTGAATAAAACGTTGCTACACAATATAACAATTTACATTAAAAATATGATCAAAACAAAGTGTGGGAGAAGTTGTAGAAATGATCTATTCTAAAAAATATGTACTGGGAGAAAAAACACTGTAAAACCGTGTTTAAAAGATAATTTTTTTTGGTAAGCATTGATGCTATGCCCTTAAATTTGGTGCAGGGTGCTGAAATTCTTCCAATTTTTTTCAGATGCTTCAAAACTAAAAATTAAAAGGCCTACAAAACTAAAGAAAAAAAAAGACTAATGTAGAAAGTTGTAAATAAGTCTTTCACTGTAAAAAATCATTGTAAGTGATTTTTTTATAATAAATAAATAAACTTTAAAAAATTTTGTCACTGTGTGAAAAATCATTGCATGTAACATACAAAACCGTCTATACGGTAGACATCACACTCTCAGATTTCAATAAAACTGTGTAGGGGTGAAGGCTTTGCCTAATTAAGCAAGTTAAATAGAGCATAATATGATTTTGTTCAATAGAGTCCTAGGGCACGCAATTACCTTTGAACCGAAGGTAGTCATGCACCGTAATTCAATTCATGAAGTACTGTTTTAAGAACATTATTCACTTTAATTGCTATGCAGAAAAACTTAAATAACAATAACTATAGAACGTTCTTTAATTACTGTGGTACAATATTTTTCAAAACCAATTAATAACAGTTTAAAAGTTTGTTCGTGCAGGCGACTACTACTGCCTCTACCTCTACCCTTAACATAAAATAGCTACTGTACCTACCCATAGATGTCACCACTTGTCCTTGTATAATTGTCATTGCTTGTTTTGAAGTTTCGTTGTTATGCTACAATAAATAAACGTTGCATACCTCCGCCATGGCAGGACGGTCAAATAATCGTTCTCGTTTCAATATTTCCTTTTATCACACAACGTAAAAATCTGGTCCTATCGGTGCGCGATCAAAGTTTTTTAATTACATACTTACCTTACCAATCCGGCTTAGGCCTTGTTGTCCTCTGCTGTCCGAAGAAGTCGTCTCCACTCTACTCGATCCATAGCCACTCTTCGCCAGCCTCGTAGTCTGCGAAGGGTCCGCAGGTCGCCTTCTACTTGGTTGATCCACCTTGCCCGCCGCGCGCCTCTTCTTCTTGTTCCTGTTGGGTCGCTTTCGAGAACCATTTTCACTGGGTCGTCGTGCGGCATTCTTACGACGTGCCCAGCCCACCGTAGTCACCCAATTTTTGCAATGTGGACGATGGATGGTTCTCCCAGCAGCTGGTGCAATTCGTGGTTCATTCGCCTCCTCCACGTTCCGTCATCCATCTGCACTCCACCGTAGATGGTACGCAACACCTTCCGTTCGAAAACACCAAGGGCGCGTTGGTCCTCCACGAGCATAGTCCAGGTCTCGTGGCCGTAGAGGACCACCGGTCTAATCAGCGTCTTGTAGACAGTCAACTTCGTGCGGCGGCGAATTTTATTCGACCAGAGCGTCCTCCGGAGTCCAAAGTAGGCACGATTTCCTGCCATAATACGTCTTTGAATTTCTCTGCTGGTATCATTTTCGGCTTTCACCAGTGAGCCCATATACACGAACTCATCGACCACCTCGATCTCGTCACCGTCAATCTGAACTCGGGGTGGGAGGCTACTATTGTCTTCCATAGAACCTCTTCCTTTCATGTATTTTGTCTTCGATGCGTTTATGGCAAGTCCAATACGCCTAGCTTCAGCCTTCAGTCTGATGTACGTTCCCGCCATCGTCTCAAAGTTCCGTGCCATGATGTCAATGTCATCGGTGAAGCCAAGCAGTTGGATGGACTTCCTGAAGATCGTGC